TTTAAAAGTTGTTGTTGTTGTTGTTGTTGTTGTTGTTGTTTTTTAATTAAGCCAAATTGTTGTTTGGACCTGAGCTGCAGAGAAAGTTATATTAAAGAATATCATTGTTATCATGGCAATAACTTATTTCACGCTTGCTGTATGCTGTATACTAAGAAATTGTATACTGCACTAAGAAATACTATTACACTATTTAAATGCTGTTTTATACTGCGTTAAGAATTTTTAATGTCCAGGGCAGCCCAGGGGGCTCAGCGGTTTAGTGCCACCTTAAGTCCAGGGCTGATCCTGGAGACCTGGGATCAAGTCCCCACTGTTAGGCTCCCAGCATGGAGCCTGCTTCTCCCTCTGCCTGTGTCTCTGCCTCTCTCTTTCTGTGTCTCTCATGAATAAATAAATAAATCTTTAAAAAAAAGAATTCTTAATGTCCAGAATCTTGAATAAAGCCAGTGGTGAGGTTTCCATGTTTGTGCAAGGAGGACACTGTGAATTGAACTGGTGATTCACAGAAAGCTGCCTAATAATTTAGGAGAAAGCCCACAGCAACTTTCTTATTGGAAGAGAGGGATGGGTGTTATAGTGGAAAATTAAAGAGACACAGCTGGTTCCCAGGCCATAGGCCCCAACGAAATGCTTTGTCTGCCATGGGCTTATCATGTGGAAGAAGAAGAATCAAACATTCCTCATCCTACTCCAGATGGGGATGGGTAACAACAATTTCTTCAGATGAATAGTCTAGACTCAGAAGGAAGCACCTCGTAAGCAGGAAGAATAAATCTATGCTGAAATAATGGGTGTAAAATCTCTCCCTGTCCAGTATTCTCAAAACAAATCAAAGGGGAATGGGGGGAGGAAGGGAATGTTTGAAATCTATAATATGACAGGCACAATTCTGAGTATTAAAAACAAAATGCAAGGCACCTGGGTGGGTCAGTGGTTGAGTGTCTGCCTTTGACTCAGGTCATGATCCCAGGACCCTGGATGGAGTCCCCACATCCGGTTCCCTGCATGGAGCCTGCTTCTCCCTCTGCCTGTGTCTCTGCCTCTTTCTGTGTGTCATAAATAAATAAATAAATAAATAAATAAATAAATAAATAAATAAATAAATAAATGCAATGTTAGACAGAGATGATACATTTTGGTTCATAGCACCCCATTTCCTTTGTTCTGGATTCCTTTTGCTTGTATGTGCTTTTTCCTGATAAGGAAATGGTAAAGAACAAGTTGATGTCTTTTGCAGTGTTATTCAAATGAAAGGTACAATAATCTTCTAAGATAAGAATAATAAGTGGGGTGCCCGGGTGGCTCAGTCAATTAAGTGTCTGCCTTTGGCTCAAGTCATGATCCCAGGGTATCTGTGATGGAGCTCAGTGAGGAACCTGCTTGTCCCTATCCTCCCTACCCCGTTCGCATGCTTTTTCTCACTATCTCACTCTCTCTCAATTAAATAAATAAATAATTTTAAAAAGGAATAATAAGTGAAAGATATAGTTTCATTGTGATATCATCTATTAGCTGCTTGTATAGGTAACAAGTTTATTTTGTAATTTATTACACACACCCTGGTAGCTTTAATGGAATGTAGTCAGTGTCTGTGAGAAAGAAAATATCCTCTTTTTACCTGGGTGTCTCAAAGATGTGTAGACTATGCTGGCATCAAGTCAGGATATCCCAGTCCATAAAAGGGCTGGATTCCTACCTTCTAACACACTTCTGAAGTACTCAGAAATGAAGATGGGCTGGGGCTGGGGTAGGGACTGGGGTTTGGAGGCAAGCAACATATCCTTTTGGAAGCATTTGCTTCCAAAATTAAATAGTAAAAAATTGAGACCATTTTTTTTGTTGTTTTTCGTTGTTGTTTACAAATCAGTTACTAGCTGGCACCCGTGGTCATTTCATTGAGTTGGCTTGAGGAAAGAGGGCTGTATACATTTGGGGATATCACAGAGTTCTCCAAGTTTTACATTCTGTCCTTCACTTTAAAACTATTTTGAAAAAATAAAATAAAAAAAAAACTATATTGGTGTCTCTGACAGGCCCCAACGCTTTTTTCTTGTTTTTTTTTACCAGTGCCCCTATCCCTATAGTTAAAGATAAGAAAGGATTATTTAAGGATAACACCTGTTTCAATAACTTGTTGTTGTGTAACAAAACTCTCCCAAAACCTAGTGGTTCATAAAAACCATTTTTTAAAAATCTGAAAGATAAAATTAGGGGCACTTGAATGGCTCAGTCCATTTAGTGCCTGCCTTTGGCTCAGGTCATGATCCTGGAGTCCTGGGATAGAACCCCGCATCAGGCTCCCTGCTCAGCCTGCTTCTCCTTCTCCCTCTGCCCTTTCCTCCCTGCTCCATGCTCTCTTTCTTGTGCTATCTCTGTCTCTCTCAAGTAAATAACATCTTTTTAAAAAAAATCTTTAAAAAATAAACAAATAAAAATCTTTGCCACCTGTGCATTGCCTGAGCTCATCTGGGTATTTATTCTTCCAGCCTCTCCTGATTATAATCAGATGGTAGGAGAGCAGAGGGAGTCAGCTGTCAGTAAGGCTGAGCTCTTTACCTTTGCAGGGAGTCACAGGGCCTCTCCTCTCCATGTGGTCTCCAAAAATGGTCTCATCATCACCCTAGTAATTGCACTGGTCACTGGTTACAACTTTTTTTTTTTTTGGTTACAACTTTGTAGCTCAGAGTTGAGCTACAAGAACAATCTTCTAAGCCACCTTACTAGGAGAGCTGACACTGTATCATTTCTATTCCATTCTGTTGGGTTAAGAGTAGAAAGTTCAACCCAGATCATATAAGGAGTTTATACAAGGATATAAATACCCAAGACACAGTTCATGGGGACGGACCTGGGGACTAACGACTGTCACCACTCAACTGCACAAAGGTGAAAGTCATACATTCACCTTGGCAGGGCAACCTGAGTTTCCCTTATACTCTAAGAAAGGGACACACCACTCCCCATGTTCCTTGATTCACATGTGTCAGGAAGGGAGAATTCAGTAAAATTAGAGAGTTCTTGATATGTCCCTTTGTGTTTTCAAATATAGGGCAACTGCTCTTTTGCTTCCATGCTGGGGTGCCATGCTTTCCAACAGTCTCACCATCACAGCTTCTAAATCGGAGGGTTTCAGATTCCCACCACCCTTGGATGGCTTGCCAGGGGCCATGCATTGCCTAAAATGATGTCTAAAATATTGTGTGTGTGTGTGTGTGTGTGTGTGTGTGTGTGTGTATTCCTCAGACTTCTGGGGAGGGGCTTCCTGGTTTTCCTCAGACCATCACCTAGGGTGAATTCAAATCAGCAAGACCTAAGAGTGCTTACAACTCAGGAGCACTACTCTGCATTTTTACCTTCTGACTGACTTCTCCAGTAGGGGAAAAGCAGTAGGTCTTTGATGTATTTGTGTCTACAGTAACACAAAAAGCAGTCACTAGCTGCCACCGAAGACCACTTCATGAGTCTGCCTAAGAAAAGATAAAGAATGGGCTGGATTACCTGTGCCCCCAAGAATTATTGTGAGCAGGAATCCTCCTTTGTTGGGGCTCAAGGCATTGGAATTGACTAAAAATTTTAGCTTATTATTTTCCCATTTGTACCTGGTGAATAGTAAAGAATGTAACTTAACAGGACGTTGGATTCTCTGCCCCCAACACTCTATTCTCCTTTCCTCTCTTCCTTATTTATCTTTTTATTTTGTAAGACATAGCAGGCAAGGGTACAATTCCCTCTCCTTGGGCCAAAAATGTGCTAAAATGCCTAGTGTGATCTCAACTGGAGACATGGCCTTGAACCTGAGCAAGTGAGGCCCCTCTGCTCACTTTATCTACTAGGAACTCAGAACATCCTGGGGAAGGAACTCCGACTGGAAGCAGAACCTGTCTAGGAAAAGAGGAATAAAGAATGTGGAAAGGGTCGAGTACTAAGAGGCAAGTGAACTGGATTAGATGGTAGATGTAACCCAGGAGTTAACTTCAGAATTTCAAATGCTTAATGTAACCTCTGTTACGCCTAACAAAACAGACTTACCTTTGCTTTCTGAAATTCCTGTTCTAAACATTCCTAGCACCCAGGGACCCCCTCTGAAAAACACACCTTGCCATTTCTCAAGAGAATCCAGTCAACCATTTCAGCTCAGCTGTCCCACTTCAAGATAAATGCTTTGAACTATTCTCCTACCCTTCCCTTTTTTCTATAGCATTAATCAGAGTGGAAGATTTTATATAGTTTCTCACCACCAGCGTACCAGTTCTTCCAGTGCCCACATATATCCTGGCACAAAGGAAAACAGTGATTAAATATATTTTAATAACTTGTAGGGGTGCTTGGCTGGCTTGGCACCCCTCTTGATCTTGGGGTTGTAGGTTCAACCCCCACATTGGGCGTAGAGATTACTTAAAATCTTTTTTAAAAAGTTTTGAGAACTTATCAAGCATTCACCCTATATATGGCAAGTGAGTGCTCCAGTGCCTACTTTCCTCACTTGCAGAAGAGGGAAAACAGCACTTCGGCTCCACAGGCTTGATCAGGCTCAAACTTGGTACAGAATGGCATTGATGAAACACGTGGCACAGGAAATGCCCAGCACAAGTCATCTGCATCCATTGCCTCAACCTGCAAAATCTGATGGATAGGGCCACAGCAATTAATGCTGCAGTCCACAGCAGGGCTAACCCTTCGCTTTTACAGCCCCTTGAGTCCGTTTCTCCCCCAGAGTAGAACACGGATACCCAGGGCTATAGCTTTAGTTGCCCTGGTAAAGTACACTAGCTACAAATCATCACTGGAACTCTCCAAAGCTTAAGAACTGCTTGTGTCAAAAAAAAAATCCAATGCACCTTGTATGCACTTTATAGGAGAGCATCCTATTAAAATTACAGACGCGGAAGTTTCATTAAAAGTAAGGTCACAACGCACGTTTGCTTTTGATTCATTCCTGTGACTCCTTCAAATTATTTTTATTTTTTTCCCTTCAAATTATTTTTAACCCGGCAACAGTACTTCCCAAGGTGTAGACAGGTGAGAGTTAGCAAGTTCAGTGTTGAGAGGGAGCGTACAGACTCTTGGTGAAATAATGTAGGCCGAAAAAAAAAAATCCAAACTCCTCTATAGGCTGGTTTCAAGATTCAACTAGAAAACTCAAATTCCTTGGATGTTCTCCTCTGGTGAAGGGATACACGAAAATTCAAAATACCTAGAGTATCGAGATTAACCATTACTTTTCAGAAACTAGGATCACTGAAACGATGTGTTACGCACAGGCTCATTCTATGAGGTTTTTCTACCTAGGAAAAAAAACAAATAGACATCCTAATGTTCCATTTTAGGTTTTGACCCTGAATCAATTATAAGAGAAGGAGAAATCTGCTGTAACTACATATTAAATATCAATCAAATGTTTCCAGTGCTATGTCAATACTTAACATTCATCTTGAAAATGGACTTTTGTGACAAGAGACACTAGCAGAGTGAAAAAGGATTCCAGATTTTATTTCTTTAAAGATCGAGAAAACACACCCAAGATAAAATGGTTTTGGTCAATAAATGGTCAGGAAACGGAGCAAGTTATTCTGGGACATACTCAAAACTGGTCACCCTGAACTGGGAAACGGGGTTCTGACAAGGCAACTGTGGGAAAGAAGAAGTATCTGGACAAATCTTCACAGACCACCCCACATTTTTCTCCCCCCAACTGTTCAAGCGGCAGACAAAATAAATTACCATAAATTATATGCCTAGGCGATTTAAAAACAAAACAAAACAACACGAGGCCGAGGACTTCCTCAGCCCCTCCGGAAGTGTGTAGGTAACGCTGCGCTTCTGGCCCGCAGGCGGGCTCGCCCGGGGCGTCAGACGTCAGGATAGTTGCAGTAGTACACCGCTGAGCTGGCGTCCGACACCACCGAGGAGATGGCCCCGTGGCCGTCGGGGAGATTCACAACGGAGTCGTGTCCCTGGTAAGGGAGTCCCATCTCGGGCTTGCACACAAAGTGTAGGTACTGTTCAAATTCCGTGCGGTCCACCTCCCCGAGGAGCTCGGCGGGCTGGCTCGGGTCCGCGCCGTCGCGGCAGGGCAGGGCCTCGGGGGGCGGCGACGGCTGCTGCGGGTGCTGCGGCGGGTGCTGCGGCGGGTGCTGCGGCGGGTGCTGCTGCGGGTGCTGCGGCGGGTGCTGCTGCGGCTGCAGGGAGAAGCCGCGCCCGCCGCCGGCCGCCGGCGAGCCCATCGCGTTGTAGTACAGCTGCAGGGCGCTGGGGGGCGCCACGTGGCCCGGCAGCGCAGGGCCCGCCTGCTCCAGGCCGAGGCGCGCGTGCACCGGGCCGACGGGCGGCTCCGGGGGCCCCGCGTAGTCCGAGGCCGGCGCGTAGCTGTAGGGCCCGGCCGCCGGGCAGTCCCCGGGCAGCGGCGCGGCGAAGAAGGCCGGGTCCGGCTCCACGCCGTCCAAGGGGGACGTGTCCGGCGTGGGCAGCGGGTAGCCGTCGAGCGGGGCCGCGCCCAGTCCCTGGCAGTCGCGGTAGTGGCCGCCCAGGTGCGCGGGCAGCAGCGGCGGGCCCGCGGGGAAGCCCTGCTCCGGGAAGGCCAGGCCCAGGCCGTCCACGGCCACGCGGCCGCCCTCGGGGCCCAGCGCGGCGGCCTGCGGCTCGGCCAGGCCGTGCAGGAAGCCGCCCTCCACCCGCTTCAGGCGCTTCACCTGCTTGCGCCTCCGCGGCCGGTACTTGTAGTTGGGGTGGTCCTGCATGTGCTGCACGCGCAGCCGCTCGGCCTCCTCCACGAAGGGCCGCTTCTCCGCCAGGGTCAGCGCTTTCCACGACTTGCCTGCGCGGGCAGAGGAAGGGGCACGGGGGCGCCGGGCTCACTGGCTGCGCTCGCGCCCCCGGGCCCGGGCCCGCGCGCCCCGGCCGGCCCGCCCCGGCTGGCCCCACCTCTCCCCGCCTCTCCCCGCCGACCTTTAACTGAGCAACTAGAGCGGGGGAAAGGGGTCGCGCGCGTTAAGGAGTGAAAAATCTGCGGACTCCGGAGGCCAGCCCTCGGAGGCCCAGCGTTCGGGGAAGACAGGACATCTCGGGTCCTCGAAGGGCGGCCCTCCCTCCTCCAGCCCCTGGGAGGCCGCCTCCCAGCTCGCCCACTCCCGGTCTTTCGAAGAAGCGAGAACGGCCCGGCCCCTACCCGGGAAGGCGTGGGGCAGGCAACGGGAGGGACCGAACCTACCTACTCGGCTGCCGGGGACCCTCGCGGGGGCCCAGACACGGGGAAGCCGACGACCCAGGCGGTTGGGAGGAGTCGGGAGAGGGAACGCGGGAGGGAGCCCAGGGCCCCGGGGAGCGCCATGCACCGCCTCGGCTCAGGGGAGCGGCTCCGCGGGTCGCAGCGCCGCGGGTCGCGAGCTCGGACTCACCCAGCATCTTGCTCAGCTCGGCGTTGTGCAGGTCTGGGTTCTGCTGCGCCAGGCGCTTGCGCTCGTCCTTCGCCCACACCATGAAGGCGTTCATCGGCCGCCGGATGCGAGACTCGCCCTTGGCTCGGCCCGCCGCCCCGGCCGGCGCCCCGCTGCTCGCCGCCGCCTCGCCCTTCACCTTCATGTCCCCGAGGGGGCTCAGCGACTCGGCCCAGGGGCAGGGGCCCAGCCCGGCCATCACCGCGGGCAGCGCGCTGCGGGTCTGGCTCTGGTCGTCACTGGCGTACCCCGCATCCGGGCTGCTCATGGCGCTCCAGCCCTGCCCCGCACCCCACAGCCCTCCGCCGGACACGCCGCCCCTCCCCCCCCCCGGCCCGGGGGAGATGCCCCGTGGGCTGCTCGAGTCTCCCGGGCCCGACCCGCCGCCGACGCTCCCGGCAGGTCCCGGCGCCCCGCGCAACCCGGGTGCCCGCCGGCCCAGTGACGCTGCGGACGCCCGGGGCCCGCGGGCCCTTTTCTGCGCTGATGCGGCCAATGGAGTGGCGGGGGCGGGCCGGCGGGCGTCCTTAGGCCCACGCCCAGCCGGCCGCCCGCGTCCCGGGCCTCCGCTCAACCCCACGCCCGCCCCTGCCCCTCCCCCGGCCCCGCGCCCAAGGCTACACCTGCCCCCGGGAAAACCGGCTGAAGCCGGGCTCAGGCGCCGCGTTCCCTCCAACCTGGGAAGGGGGACTCCCGAAGATGCTTCTGGAATGTAGGCTGGACCGCTGGATAGAAGTCCTTGGCCACGGTAGTTGGGATGAACACACTGAGCAAACGCTCTTTCTTCTTTTTCTCTCAAATATGATACCTCCATAATTTGGGTTACTATGCAGCTATTCCAAAGAATAGACTTATGTATGCGTATACACACATATTCAGAGAGATTTTTATACTGAGTGGAGAGAGTAAGTTAACATTTGAGCACACGCTATTATAGGAGCCAGGGATGTTAGTACGGGGGAAGGTACCTAGCCATCTTCCCGGAAACCCCGCGGGTGTCTTCTCCAAGTGTGTTTTTTCGAATGCAGTAGATACTGTTGATAATAAATTAAAAACATTCTCTCCCCAAGGACTCAACCTGCTTGTTGTACTACTTTCAAAATGCTGTGTCCGAGGTAAATTCTAATCTTTGTAACAGGATTAAACACGGGATGACATCCTGTAGCCAAGAGTCCCTCATCCTGAAGAATAAAACCTTTATTCATCACGATGAAGCGACCCTTGCAAATTTGTACATGAAATGTATGATAGACATAAAAGGTTTCACATACGTGTGCAGTAAAAGAGGCAAGACTCGGTTTTGATTTCTAAAATGTGGTAACACTAGCAGCAATATTTATCTGAAGGCCCACCTAATGGGGGCAAGAGCAACCCCCTTGCGCACCAAACTTAGCTGTAGCTCTTAGGGGATTCTGTACGCTTCTTTGGACTGAAATGAAAATCTGAAAGAGTATTCAACTTGTGCTGAAATCCGAAACCTTCTCATTGGGATTTTTAAACAAGCCCTCACATTGCATGTACCTGGCACAGGCCTCCAAACTTAGCTAGTTTATCCCTGCAGTTCTGTGAGGCAAACGCTGTTGCATATTACAGGATGGGAACCTGAGATACAATGTGTTTAAGGAATTTTCCTGAGGTCACAGTTTGAGGAGTGAAATTCATCTCCACTAGCGTGCCCTGATTTTGAGCTCCTAAGCACTAAACCAAGCCGTTGTGTATTTGTTTGTATATTTGTGTTGTTTTCTAAGGCAGTTAACACACTCATTTCTGCCTAAGTCCATAACTTTGCAAAGAAAGGAATACATCAATCCCCAGAACAGATTTTCTTTGTTTACTGCGAAGGTGTGATGACAAACTAAGGCTTACATCCGGGATCTGGGAGGTAAATGCTGCAGCTTTTTGTGTGAAATTAGAGTAACAAAGTATTCTATCAAGTCTGCTTATTGGTGGCATCCATAAAAACAAAGAAACACAACGCCTTAGGAAACGTCTGGCCTTCGGTTTCTCTGACATTGCTATTCCCCCCCCCCCCCAAAAAAAAAACTCCTCATTAGTTTGAAGCCAACTTTACTTTGCCTCTGTGAGGCTCTGTGAAGCGCTGGCTGCCCTCCGTCCCTGTGACAAGCCAGTCTTCAAATATAGGATGAATTAAGTGGTTCTAGCTCTTGGGTCTCTGGGTTTCAATCCAGAAAAAAATGTTAATCTGCTTAAGAAAATCATCGACAAGTGTTATTTTTAATGGGTGGTTTTGAAGCAGCTGATCTTAAATTTAACTAATTGTGTGTCTTTCCTTTAAGGCTTTTTTTTTTCCTGAAACAAATATGGGCTTGAAAATTAAGCATAACTGCATTTCAAATGGTTATGTAAGGAAGGAGATATGGGAGTAGAAAGAACAAATTCACCCACAGTGCCTTGCTCCTTGTCTTCTTGGCGATCTTCTCTATTTCTTCTGGATAGTAATAAACATCCCCACAGAGATTCCAAAGCAGATTTTGTATTAGTGCAAAGTTTTAGGAACTAACAGGAGTTTCGTTAGACTAGTAATAAAAAACCAAACAAAAACTATTCCTGTTCCAGAATCTATTATCTGCCTATATTAATCTATTTGATAGCTTCTGTAAAAAAAAAAAAAAAGTAAAATAAAATAGGGTACAAGAAATTCAATCCAAGCGTGAGTCCAAAATACGTATATGCATGGATTTGCCCTTGTGCACTTTCTTCGTCCTCGTGTTCTTCCTGGCCCACACCGGTCCAGAGAGAAACTGATGGGGAAGACAGCCTGGAGGATCTCCATTACTATTTGCACGTGTTCCTGGAGAAAGACTATTGAGTTTTGTTGGGTGAGATCACTGAGAAATCAGGTGAGAGCACAGCATCCATAGAATGGAGTGGGAGCCTCAGATTTCGCGTCCCTTCCCCCCACTTTTTATAACGCCTTCCCTGGAGGTTATAAAGTAACAGTTTATACGTGCCAGTTGGGAATTATGGTGCCGTTTTAACACCGCTTCCTTTTACCCACCGTTACCTAGAGCTAATTTCTTCTGATCATCCACCTGTCCTGTATTTTGGGGGGAGGGTGTTGGGGGCTGCGGCGCCGCAGCCCAGTCCGTGGTGTGTGTAGACTCTTCTATTTCGGTCTCTTTACTGAACGCGGTGTTGGAAGTCGAGCTCTAGACGTTATCAGAGCCAGCCACAAATGCCACATGAAAAGCAGCAAACATCCGGAGTGGTTTCCTGCAAGCCTTGCTTTTCTCAACACGAGAGATTTACGCGGGGGATTCGGGCGGGGGCACGGGGGGGCACGGGGGGGGGGCGCGACGACAAACAAGTTTCGCGAGTCAGAGCCTTGTACACCCGCTCCTGGAGCCGCTCGGTGCGTCTGCCCTGCACAGTCCAGGGTCCCTGGGTTCCTGGCTCCCAAGTGCACTCACGGGCCCCAGGCCAGACTCGAGGCTCGCAAGGCTGGGCAAGGAAGCGACTAGCGCAGCAGGAGGCCGTGCCCGCTGCCACTTGAGGCCTCTGGCGGGCGGGCGCACAAATTAACCCGGGTAGGTGCCGAGCTGCGGCTCAGACCCGGGGAGTCGGAGTCGCGCACTTCTCCGGGCCCCCGAAGGAGCAGGCAAAGACTGGGTGACTTCCTGCAGGCTTTCGTGTTTCCGATGCTCGGGAAGCGCGAGCCGGACGGAGGACTTTCGAGTCGTTAGGGAAGGCGGTGGGCACCCAGACGGATCCGGGTTGGCTCCGGAGAGCCAGTCCTTGGGGGCGGGGAGGGGAGTGCGCGCCGCCGACCCGGGGAAATCGCCTAGGAGGCCGCCGAAGAATAGACAATGGTATCCCTGGGACAAAGCACAACAATAAGGCCTTTGCATTTATAAATCGCGCGCCGGCGGCGGCCTCGGGAGCCCCGCGGGAGGCGGCGTGCGGCGGCGGAGCGCGGCGGGCTCCGCACCTCCCAGGTAGGGCCGCGCAGCCGGACGCCGCCGACCGCCCCGCGCGCCCCGGCGGCGCCGCGCGTCTCCACACCTTGCGCGTCCCCTCCCCGTCCCTGGGCCGGTCCCCCGTGGGTCCGGGATGCGAGGTCGGAGGCTGCGGGCGGGATGGGAGAGGGCGGAGGACGGGGTGGCCCGCTCTTCCGGGCCCCCCGCTCCGCCGTCCCTCCCCGCCCGTGCCAGGGGTCGGAGCCCCGCGGACCCGGCACCTTGCTCTCGGCCCCAGCCCCCGCCCCAGGCTGTGCGGGGCTCGAAACAGCGCGACGCGCGGGGGCTTGGGGACGCCTGTTCCGCGCGAGGACGGGAGGCGCGGTTCGCTCGCACGTCCCTCCCCAGGACGCGGACCCCCGAGGCCGCCCGCGAACCGCGCCCAGCAGCCGGCGACTCCTCGGTCGTAACTGTTCCCGCTTGGCTCCGCCTGGGGCTTGCTCCGGCGAAGCAGGAAATGCGCCGTTGCCGGTCCACCTCCCTGCCCAGAAACTCGTCCGCGGGGGTGTTTCTTAGGTTCCCCCTGGCCCCCCCAGCCCCGGCTGAGGTCCTGGTTGAAGTGTGGGCGCTTTCCCTTTACTCTCTGGCAGAGAGAACCTCAGGATCCCGGGGGTTGGAGGCCAGGCGGCCTCAGGGGTGAAGGAGAAGGCAGCCCAGCTCCTTCTCCACTTCCCCTGCGCACACCGCCCTGCTGTCCCCTTCACATCTGCCCTGCAACTCCAACGGGAGCTTCAGCAGCGGCTTGGCTTCTAGGCGGCCGCTTTGCTGACCGCCTCCCCACACCCTGCAAGAGGCCGGGGCTGTCCTTGTAGAGCTGTATCTTTAACGCACTGGTGTTATCTGCACCGAGCCCACGGCGAGCAGGACACTTGCGCTCCCACCCAAAAGAGAGCCGTCACGGCCCCTGCCTCGCAGGAATGAACAATGCAATACCATTAGTCTTCCCCTCTGATTTATCCACTTCCAGCTGGGTGTTCTAGGCCTGTTCTCCTGTAATAATTTGTTCCCGGCTTGTAAAGGTAATGCTGACATCCGTAGGCCAAGTACTCTGAGGTGGTTGGTGTTTTTTTTTTTTTTTTTTTGTAGAGTTAAGAGGTTTCCTTTCCATCCAGAAAACTCTAGCTTGCCAGGTTTCCCTAGTCAGCAGGGCTGGATTTGGGCAGTTGGACGGTCAGGACGAAGCCTGTGCTCTGTGATCAAGGGAGTGATCAAAGTTAATAGGTCATAGGACAGGCCACTGCTGACAACACTCATTATGGACTTTTCCATGCAACTTCAGTCACAAGCATATCAGATTTTGAAATTGGC